TATAAATTGATTTGTGGTGGAAAACCTGTTATCGTAGTGAAATAAATTCAGTTACTTTGAAGTGCAAGTTTATAATGGATGTCTTGAAGTGTTCAAAAGCTCCGAGCTGTAAAATAGCAGAATTAAAAATATCACAAAATTAATCTAGAATATTCATTCAATCCATTAGTTTAGGTACAAGGTGTCATACTATTTTAGGTACAATGTGACACAATATTTCGCTTAAAAGAATACATATAAGCAGGCATTTCCTTAGTTTGTGATGGGCAATATGGTCACCTTTTATAAAAAGAAATCAACGTTTCTAATGACATTCCGATTTACAACATGAAGCATTGCAGAGAGTAATACAAAAATAGAAAATAAGAATCCCTAAAGAAAAAATTGAAAATGTTGCCGGCTCTGTTTGATTGAGCCTGTTCATGGACGGTACTGTCAAGTACCAACTACCGTATACGATCCTAGCACCGGCTGAAGCAGAATTCAACATTTAAATATGCAATGGTCAGCAAAGTCAGCATCCTTGCACAGACACTAACATCAAAATGAACGCTACAAATATTTCTTCGAATATTTCTTCAAATAATACAAAGCGTTCACGTTTAATTCTGTACGTTACACTAAATCAATCAAGATAACTGATTTATGCGTCAGTTGATCATTTGTTTTTGCTTGAAGTCCATACATTAACAATAAAATCTTCAGTAAAATTATCATTTAATATGTATGTAATTTTCTGGTCTTGATGATTAAATGTCAGCTCAGCTGCGGAAAGTTGTGTTAAACTGTTAACTAGTTGCTTGACAAATGTTTTCATTTCCTATACCTTCTTTTAAAATAATAATTATTTCCAATACATTGTTTTTGCATCACTCTGGACTTGTTTGTAGAAAGAATATTCTGTTGCCAATTCTTGCGGGTTTTAAGAACTGTCCTTTTCAGACTTGTTTAAATATAATCTGTATTCGCATCAAAACATTATTTGTTTTACAACAGATATTGCACGAGATGTATTACTCTCATCTTATTGTAAAATGAAGGTTAGAAAGGAAATTTTTACATAATATCAAAACTAAATCTAGCCACTTTTTTAAATTGCTTTTATCAATATTTTTTAAGTAATTTTGTAAAAGAATTAAAAAATATGCAGAAAATTTTTTCACTTTTTTTCCTCTCTTGATAAAGACACATTTCTGTTTTTAAAAGTATTATAATCAATATATCTTTTTTAAAGTTAAAAACATTGTCCAGAGCTATTTTGTACTATTTGAATGATTTCAACAATATTTCTATTAACCAGATCAATTGGAAACACATTATTATGCTCTTTTCTCTAAACTCTATACATCAAAACAATTTATTTCTAAACACACCCACAAGTCTATTAAAACACTTCCGTGAATTGCGTGCAAACATTTCATAACGATGTAATTGTGTTTTCCACGTCATGCTGGTAAATTATCATTGGCGACGCCGGTGAGCGGCGTCGTCTATTATGGAATGCTTTTTATTTTTGCCTATGGAAGGAGCTGTTATTATTAGCAGTTAATTTCATGTTGTGTTAATTAGTTTTATTTTGATTCGTAAAAATCAAGTAAACAAATGGGTTGTTATATTTGTATTTAATAACTTTATGTAAAAAGCATGTGCATTGTGATATTATTTTCCCGAAATTGCAGGTTAAGTTTAACAGCTTGTCCCTTAGTTTTAATGACAATACTAAAACCCGGATTTCGAATATCGTTGTGGTCTAGATTGAGGCCGTATCAGTTCATTCATTCATTTATACATTTTCAAAATTTTCCTACAAGAAGAAAGTTCACCTGCAATTGAGTATAAGGATAGGTAATGGAACTGTTGTAAACAATTATCCTATTGATTTTATCCTTATTACATTTATCTGTTGCGCAGAATGGTTGTTTTTACAAAGTGTACCAGTATCCGGATGTTGAAAGCTATCCGATTTTCTGCAATTACTGCTGACACATGGCCATCTATTTTTTTATGAATACTTTACCATTAATTTGCATGGCTTGATAAAACTGAACCTGCAGCATTTCATAATTTTGCTGTTTAGGGTGTTCTTTTAGGTTTCAGGTTTTCTTTATTTTAAGGGGAAGTAACTCATGTTTACTAAATTATTTGTCCTTTTCTGTCTATCTAAGGTATTACTTATAATACTATTTTTGTTGTATATAATTCACCAGTTGTAAGGTCATCAAAAGCATGTTAATGTTAGGATTTCATATTTATTTAATATAAACTGGGAATTATTAATGTTATGTGCATACATGTATATCTTAGACAGTAGTATATTGATATGTTGAGACTTATAATTCTTCTGCATTTAAAGAGATACAGTTATGGCATTATTATTAAAGGGATGAGACTTTCATTTAAAGTTATAAATGATAAAACATGTATTGATTGAAAATGTCCTTAAACTTGGATCAAGCAATATAATTAATAAAGTCTCAAAAAATCATATTCTAACATGTGCATAGTTTGAAAAGGACAGCTTCTGTCTTATCTATTTGTAATGAAGGGACACCGGTCTCAACCTCCAGGTCTCCTGAGTCAACCCGACAACAGACTGTACATAGAGTAGATTGTTACTTGCCCTTGAATAAATTTGTGCACTAAATTTATAGTGGGTGATTTGTGCCACATGAAAACCAACATAGTACAAAAAGTAACTGGGCGCCAGATGAAAACATGAAAATACAATCTACCACAAAGTGGTTTGTTTGTTGCATTTTCATGTTTTTGCCCGGAACCCTTGATGCAAAATACAAATCAGCCTTCATAAAATTTCTTATGTTGCTCACAGGTTTGAGTTCTGGTCAAGCTCAAAGTTTTTCTCATCCTGTGACTGCATATAAGCATGAGTTCAATTTCCTATGCTCTGTAACATAAGAAATTCACGAACACAAATCGATATAGTTGGGAAATATGTTGTGGTTTAGAACTGTTTCATTGTGTAGCAGGCCGGATAGCTCAGTTGGTCTTCTGAAAGTCATGGGTTCGAGTCATGGTCAGGCAGTTTCAGTCAGGGTTTAGAAGTGGTTTTTCAATTGACACATGTTTGATTCATTTAACAGATTGCATTATTTGAAATGGACAAAGGCAGTATTGCATGATACTTTTAGATCTACAAAGGGCATTTGATACAGTTGAACACACTATACTGCACATGAAGAAGTTGTTTTCTTCTTTTTCATGAAACTTCAAGCATCTGCCATATATAATGACATTCTTACATGGTTTAAGTCTTATCTCTGATAGTAGCTGGTTGATGTGGCTGGTACTCATTCTACTACTGCTCTGAGTACCTATGCTGTCCCCCTGATGTTCATTTTAGGTCCTGATTTATGTCTAATATATGTCAATTACATGTCTTCAACCCTAAGCAATAAGCTTTTATTATAATGCACAGGCACGAGTATCAGACCTTGGAAGGAAAAATATGGCCAGATTGATAAAAAAACCTGTGAAGTGTCAACAACCAAAATAAAATGTTAATAATGACCCCCTTTAAAAATGTACTTCAAGTTGATAGTATATTTTTAAAGGGGATCATTATTTACATTTTTTTGGGGGGGTTTATAAACACAGTTTTTTTTATCAATCTGGTCATCTGGTCATATATTTTCTTCCCAGGTCCGATACTCGTGCCTGTGATTATATGCTGATGACTCAGGAATCCTTGTGTCTCATAAAATAAATCTGAAGAAATTCTTTCTTATAGCATGAGTCTTATAAGATTGTTTAATTGACTATAAATTGTCTTTGCATCTTGGCAAGACAGAGTCTATTCTTTTTTGGTTTAAGTTTCAACTTAAACTGGCCCTAGCCTCCAGGTCACATGTAATGGTAGTGCTATAAAGTACATATCTTTTATAAAAGGTTTCAAACTGGATCAAATTCTTTTTGGGCGTCCGCCCCTTTTTGGGTGCTTTTTCATCAAGCTTTTTCCCCTTGTTTTTAATAAATTTAAAATAAATTAAAAAGGGGGAAAAAATAACAACCCCTTTCCTTCCCTCAGAAAGTTTAAAAAAAACCCTACAAAATAGTGTAGTGCCCCCCTTGCCCGCTAGATACTAAATAATTATTAGTAAATTTTTTAAATTTTTATTATTATATTTTATTTTTAATTATTCCGGGGGAAAAAGGGTCTCGGGCACAAATTTTTTAAATTGGATTTGGTTTTTTTCACCCCTGATTTAAACATAAGGGGGTCAGAAATGGGGCATTTCCGGGAAAAAATTACTTATCTAGTTATTCCCGGGGAAAACGGGTTTGGGGACCCCACCCCGGGGATATGACAGATTGTCGTTAAAACAAAACATTAATTTTGAGACATTTTGTTACTATCGAGCTAAACAAATCATTTGTTTAACACTTAAAATTTTATTCATGAAACGTAATATTTTCAACATAAAAATATGTTAATGGGTTTTAAAAAGACATTACTGGCGTTTTAATTTGTAGATCATCAAATTGTCCGATTGAACAAGGCTTCTTCATTGCGGGCTCATGACCTTTATATTATTAAAAGGCACTATCCAGGAAGCTGACTCTATTAATAAAGATTCAAATAAACACCAAGCTATCATTACAATGGAGATAGAATTAATATATTTACATTAAACCATTCTTATGATCAAGTTTTAAAAAAAAAATTAATAATAAATAAGGACGTGTTCTGGTGCTTTAATTTTGATTAAAGGTGCAATATCACTGAATCATTTTGTTCTATTCTGTACTTGACTGTTGAATTGTGCCGCGCGGAAACGTATAAGATTTTCTTAAAGTAAATTATGAACATTTAAGATACTAGATCGATAACACCTGTAAATGGAGCTAATTCCCCGTGAAAAAGGTTTTATAGCTTCCTGTTTGAAGTTAACATAAACTTTTGAGTTGATGTTATGTAAATGAAATATACATAACATGTTATGAATGATTAAACATGTCCACCAAAGATAAAACTATTTATTACTTCCTGTTTTATTAATTGCGAATTTTCAAATTACATAAATTTTAAACAGTGTGCTAATAAAGATTTATAACAGAAAATACACTGGACTCTATATGAAATTTATTACAAAATGACAGGATTGTACCTTGGAATTATTTTTACACCTCTTTTTGCCGGTACGTATTAAAGGAGACTTGCCCATTTTGTGGCTACACTAATGACCAACACAAGATCAATTTCCTATTGATTCAAGTCTAGAATATTGCTTAAGATAAAAAGATAAAATAAACAAACACAAGAATTAAAAAATACCCATTAAATTAGAACAAAAAACATAATCATTTAAGTGTATAAAATAACTTAAAGTGATAAAACTAACATTATTTTATTATTCTACAAGCTGCAGTGAATGGAGAAAGCACACAATGTAGCAAGGACTGTGTAATAGACCCGAACACATTGCAAGATTTATGTAACAATGTAAAAGGTTAGTAGTTTTTTATGTTACAAAAAATCATTTTTTAAACACCGTATTTAAATTTCAAGTAAAATTCTCGCTGTTTCAGTGATGCAACATGTGCATCCATATATTTCATTCCATCATTTAATTATCTTTCCCTTAATCATGTTAATCATTTGCAGTTGTTCAAGTGTTTCAGATTATTGCTAATAATTCATAATTCTGATGAATAAACATCGCTTTTTGTGTGTATAATAAATATTATTATTATTATTATTATTATTATTACTTTTATTATAGAAAAAACGACTTCCTGGATATTGTTATGACAAATCCTTTTCATAATTATATTATGTCCCAATTGAAGTATTGAACGCTGTCCTTCCTTGTTGATCTTGATTTGCATATTTTATACTCTTAAAGGGTCAGACGAAGAGGACAACAAACTTCTTGTATTGGCTATAAGTGGGTGGTCATTCTTTTTAATACTTTCGGTGTTTGTGTGTGTCGTAGCAATAAAGGAAGGATTTGTTATTTGTGAAGGTAATTACTTTGTAACCATTGTATCTAAACAATGAACAAGCGTACTAGTTTATTATGTGTTATTTCTTATAAGGAAGTACAGTGCATTAACATCGTATAATAGAATATTTTGTCGGTGATATCATCTCTCTTTTTTGCGCGCGTTGAAATTTTTATTGGTTTTTGATTCAATCATCATAGCCTTAAAGCATGTCACTATACTGTTATTTGATATTGTTGTTTGTCACTGAAATGTTTTTGAAAACATACCTTCAAAGGCCGCGGGGTTCGCTACGTAAAGTCGGGTAACCAGTAATGCACAACATTTTAGGCTTGTACGCGCATATAAAGCATCCATTTGGAGAAGTGGGTAAAAACAGTTCGCTGCATCCAGGGAATATACAATTCGGTTTACATTGTACATTCGAATGTACAATGTGTCAGTTAAGTACATGTTAAAAGTCGTAACTTTGTCATGAAAACAAAAGTACATCATATCCCACAAATATAAGTTTCTTAATACAAGCAGTTATCCACATCAACATATCTGTGTCTTAACTTGATCACTTTGTATGCTACCTAGAATATTCGTGTTTTGCAAAGTTGTCACTAAAAAGAAATACATAGTAACGAGATTCAACAAGTATGCATGTTTGTATCAGTACTTTTGATTCATTCACTTACCAGAATTGAAATGAAAACTATATTAAACGTATGTTTTTGGAAATTGTAGATCGGCGTGAAATCAGGGGCAACGCAGGGGAGGTTAAAGAATCACAAAACAGGTAACGGTGTTTAGAAAGTTATTCGTATCTCATATTAAAGATATTTTTACACCAAAATGTATATCCCTATGTCGTTTTTATTTAATTTGTATAGCTACTTTCACTGCTTTATATCGTGTAAAATGAAATACATGTATATTACTCAAATTTGATAATATATCATATATATTAAAGAAGCTTTGAAACTAAAACATTCAATTTTGAACTCTCAACTGTAGTTAATCCCCTAAGAAAAAATGGCCCTTTATATTTATTATAAACACACGCCATATAGGTATGTGATTATGTTGTATATATGAATTCATTGCGTTTTAACAAGACGATTTACATTTGTATAATAATGAAAATTAAAAGTTGTGTCCTGTTCAGTTCTGTTCTGATATGATATTTATTATAAAGGTAAGAATTACTTACTTCCTTCTTCATCAGAACAAGTATCTCCTAATGATATCCTTACCCTTAATGCCTGCAATAAAAACTTTCCTTATATCAAGATGAAAGTCATCGAGTAGAGCAGAAATCAGTATAGAAGATAATTGGAATGCACGGATGTGAAGGGTCATCTATCTTTGTGTTGGACTACTGCCATTGTCTCAGCAATAGGGGTGTTTCAACCTATTCCGGATTTCTGTCAATGGCTTTAATCATATCATCGATAAGGAAAGCTAAAACAAGATGCGACGGTATCTTTCCATTAAAACATATGTTTAAAACTGACCAAAGTTGTTTACTTAAATAGTCTGATACGATTTTCTTTTCAATTTCTTAATTAGTTCTCAATCAACATACGAATCTTTAAGAAACGATCAACGTACAGAAATTGTTCAAACACATTATGAACCTCTGCAGATTGAAAAAGGTATAAATAAATGTACCCATTTATCTAATAATATACAATACATGGTATACATGAATTATATATTTTATGTTTTTTTAAAATACTTATTATCATATTGCTATCTCAATCAAGATGTCCGTTTCAAGCAATCACAGGATGTTCTCAAAGAATTAAATGACAAATAAGTTGCATGATATATTACAAAATAGAGGCAAAACTAGTTTAATCAATCAAATATGTTTTGTATTTTCAGGAAAAATTGCGGAGTACGAGAATATTGTTTCGTAAATCATTTGCTAGTATCATGTAAAAGGACAAAAATCAAACAACTAATTGTCCACTCGGATGAAGACACATTCTGTATATTATTATAGGTCTGCATGTACTAATATTGTTGAATGATCACCAAACTTTGTCTGTAGCATTCTTAGAGGGTTTGTTTATCAAGTTTCCTCAAGATAATTTGATTGGCCCCTGTTAGGGGCCGCTAAAGCTAAAAATAGAAACACTCTGTAAACACTTTCTTCTACTGAACTGATATATGGATTATTAGTAAATATTGTTTGTAGCTTTCTTAGCTGTTTACTTTTCAAGTTTGCTCAAATTAACATGAATGGTCCCTTTTAGGGGCATCGAGAGCAAAAATAATTAGAAAAAAACTTTTAAATGACTTTTCTAAATAAATTGTTAGAAACACTAACTGTTCTTTCTATTTCTTACTATGTTTTGCTTTTTTAAGTCACCAATACTTGTTAACATGAACCACAACTGCCACTTCATGTATTATTTACAAGCAGATGTATGATCATAGAGGCTTCCGTCGGCACCATGTAAAAATCGTCGATTTTAAAACCACTTTCTCCTCATCGTTGTAGGCTGTAGGTTCAAATACGCCTGGTCTTTTGGATTCTATCAATCTAGCTAGCATACACAATGGAAGTGGTCCTATTCTGGTGTCCACTCTATCTGAACATATAATTAGGCCTAAAAATAGTTGTGATTAAGGTAACCCTATCTTTCCTCGCAAAATCGTTTGACCCTTAAGTTTTTTTTATGATTTTCTTGGTAAATGTTGGTGAGGTAATTGAATAGCAACCATATCAATGTTTCAGCACGATTCGTTAGTATTTTAGAGTCCGTATCACATTTTCAGCTCGAACAAGAAAAGTGAATTAATCTTAATGCAATAAATGACATTAAACCACTTTCATTCTGACATCATTTAAAGTATATATAATCCTACATACCCAACTTATTTTAAAAGGACATGTAACCCTAACCACAACATTTTGTTTTGCCTTTATTTTATTTTATTAAAAATTATTATTGTATCATGTTCCATATATCGAAATATATTGTCTTACATAATGCATGATAGAAATAATCAATCTATATACACTTGCTATTTAATATTGATGTTGTGTTGCTTGCATTCTTTGTGAATATCGTTATATGAATGAGGTATACGTAATTTGTATGTTAAATATTTGACTAAGTCTGAATATTGAAGTTGACTTTATTTGGCAGCTCAACCTTCTGAACACATCGCGTTATCATCTACAAATCAATGTCCAAAATGACAGCAACATCAATATATGAAACGATGACTTACAGTTCAAAGACTTTTTATTCAAATTCAAAACTGGACCATGGTAACAAAGTCTAATATTTTATTGTTTTTATGAAAATTATTATCGGCGACATTAATCAATAAAGCTAGCCCTAACCTCACGAATAAACAATTTGATCAAAGATGATACAATTTGAACAGAAATTTAGCAAAATTGAATAGCATATACAACAAAGTGAATGACTGACTCAATTATTGCATTAAGGATCACCTAAACGAAATTAATTAAGAAGCTTTTTTGTTTCCACAATGCAAGTTTTTTTGTTAGTTTTATATAATTCATTGTGCCCACATAATCAATTAAAACGAGAGTTATTTTATCATCTTGTTATTCACGGTTTTTAATTCTTTGATTTTTGATATTTATGCAAAACGTATAACCACTCTATTAAGTTATTCAAGCTAATTTGAAAAGTGTTGAGATGAACAAATAAGGTATATGATTTCCTTAATGTACCTAAATTGTAAAATGATTCATATGATAACGTTAACACATATCCATGACAATATTTATAAATCTCTTTCAGCTGTTCTTTTGTATTTTTTTTTCATAATCAAAGACTTATATTTAACCTAACATATTCCATAGTTGCTGTTTTAAGGTTCTAAAGTACGTGATTACTTGAAGTAAATTTTATAAGCAAGTGGAAAGGTTCTAATTAGGTTTTACTGCCCTGAAACTTCAAAGCCTCCATAAGGTCATTCTACTATTAAATGTATGTGTCTACAAAACCCCATTTATTTTTACACAATTTCATTTTTTTTATAAAAGCACTGTTTTTTTTTCTTAGTTTCCACGTCAATAAGTCTAGTCTTGTATACGTGCCTATGGTTTTATCAATGACTAAGGGCGATTGATACCATATTTCAAATTGTTCGAATTCATAGTGGAATGGTGACTTAATACAAAATGGCAGACACGTCTCCCTCTGTATTGTAATTTAATTTTTATGAACTTTTTCAAAATAATACTCAATGCACTTCAAAGTCATCAAAGTAATAGATATGATTCAAACAATTTATAATTCTAAGACATTTATTATGAAAAAGCAAGCGAACTAATGTTACGTATGTACGACATTACATATGACAAATAATCAACAAGGAAAACGCTTCTTAATGTAAATCATTACAGGCACTACTATTTTAATGCAATGCTTTGAATATAAGACCGGACTGTGTGGCGAAGATTTTATTGATAATTATTGTTTTGATATACAAATAATGAAACAATTAGCCGGGTATTGCCGTAAAAAATTATTGCATTGTTATTAATTACATATACAGTGTAGTTTACGAGTCAAGTTAAAAGATGTCAATATTGTAAATGTTAAGAAAATATCATGAAAGCAAGCAACGTTCATACAACGCAACCCCCTATATAACAACGTCGAATAAGCACGACACCCGAAACGGCACCGAACGAAATACAGAAGATGGGAAACAGGCTGTGAAAAAAGGGGATGGGCGCAACTATAACTTTAACAACTGTTACTATTAAATAAATCAGAAATATAGGAAATACAAATAAGCACAACCAAAGTAGCTGATCCGGGTATAAAAAGGAACAAGGATGGTGTATTTGTGCATGGAATTCTTACAAGTGATGAATTATTTTGATAGATATAAAGCTCCGTTACTTTCACAGTCTCTTACACTTGTCAAAACTTATACAACGTTTTAACTCCGTGCATCCTTATCATAGTATTACAAATTCAATACTATCATAATTGAGAAATACGTTTATTTCGATAGAAACGTTGTAAAATTATATTATTTACATGTTACAGTACATATACTGAGTAAAATTTACAACATATAATGTAACGTTAACATGCTTGTTGGTAATATCGTTATTGATTATAGAAAGGATCAAGGGGAACATTTTGAAAAATTGACAATTTTTACGAGAGGGATGGTAGAATGTCAATAAATGTATTTGATGGCAAGTCTATGAATATGAAACAACAAATTGTTTTTGATTGTGTCATGGAGTTCAATCATAGGAATGATGTAATTTATATTTTACGGTTTGAATCGTAGTACATTGCATGTAAATTACCTAATAAATTGATAACAAGTGCATAGATAACTCACTTGAATGTTGCAATAACGTTTTATTGAAACTTTAGGTTTGTTTAAATGTTCCTGGTTTATTGATTTTGTATAAAAGTTAAGAGATATGAGCCAAAAGTATGTAAACGTTCTTGCTGCAATATCGTTGTTTCGTAATGAATTACTATTTTGTTTGTCTTTTTCCTTAAACATCAAAGTCACAATTACCTAATTTCTAACCTAGCACAGGCTTGAGCGGTACACAATAAAACCATTAAAATACATTAAACATGCCACATATATAACATGATAAGTTATCAGTGTCTGTAATGTAACAACAATATAGATAGTGTTTTTCGACATTGTTTTGCATGGAAATGATGGAAACATATAGAGTATTGTCTTAAAACTAGTCCAGAACGTACAACTAAAGAATATATTTTCATATAAGACACTAATCCTTTCCAAATGAAGGTCAAAAGATGTCATTTATAGTATTATTTCTCTAAATTACATGTAAAAAATATCAAATGTGTATAGGTAAAATGAATTAACTAGAGATTATACTTTCAAGTTTTCTGTGGTTTACAAATGTAATAGCAGTTATATGTATTTACTTGCTGATACCTGACAAATATAAATATTAAAAGTTTTCGAATATAAAATCATAATCAATCAATGAAGTTTAATATGTAAACTTAACTGTAGCATTAATTTAAGCACCATTATTTGCACTGTGTGGATGCCTTAATAAACGATAAAATTAATTAACTGTTAAATACAAGCGTATTAGGACCTAGTATAATCTATTCGTTCAATTAAAATTAAATGATAAAAGAGATATATGTCTGATATTACTTTCTCATAGTAAAGAAACGACAAAATTTTACCTAAAATGATAGTTCGCAGTGTCCTTCCGTTACATCTGAAATTGTTAATTTGATTGGTCTATTGCAAGTTTTTTTCATTAAAGTAAGTGTAGGAAAATGTTTAGTGTTGGGAAATCTTTTTATAATTTAATAGTGGTAGTTTACAGGATCGTTGGATAGGGCAGACCGTGAGACTGGGCGGGCCGAACCAGGGTGGACCTCATGTTTGGACAGGGTGGACCTTATGTTTGGACAGGGCGGGCCATGACTGTAGACGAGGCGGACCGTGTTTAATTTCAAAAATAATATTGCTTATATACATGTATTTATTTTTTCTATCTCTTGATATTAATATCATCATAAACATGTATATTTAAGCATTTTATATTGAACAGATTCATATTTAGAAAATTAAACATCTAGCTAGTTAAATATGTATACATTTATCATGTGCGCATGACATACGGTAGACTGAGGATCCGAATGGCCTGCTCCCAACGCGAGCTTTACGGTAAGGCAAGTTTTGAAAACTTTGCCGGAAGTATTGCAAAATTATGGGAATAAGACCAATTGCAACTTTTCGACTTACAAAATAAGGATAAAAGCCGAAAAATTCTAATTATAAACGGATGCGTAGACTGGTCTCCTTTGCACTTTTATGGGAGCCATAGTAGGAGAGGGAACCAGAATAAACTGAAGTAGTGCATAAAATATCCAATGACATTTTTCACTTTTAAAACGAAAAATATAGAATAAAAATGAATGATTATTTTAACCGACTTCCCGTTCATGGGCTTTGCCTGGTTTCATATTACCTGAACTATATAAATTGATTTCCTGTCCTTTTATGGGTCCACTCTATGTTCTCTGATGGGTGGATTCAATTTAACATGAAATGACCGTATATATATAACGTGTGTGGTTGTCTTTAGTACGGCCGAACGTGTGCAGTCCTAACTGTTCTGAAAACATAAAATGACTTAATGTGTAGGTACTATAATTTCTGTCAAAGAGCTTGCTTTGAGACTTTGCCTTAATCATATTATAACTTTATATTTATTATTATTATTATTATTAACATTTACATATGCAATTATACGTAAAAAACAGTTAGCGTAAGAAAGTGAGGAAGGATTTTAAAAATCT